ATGTCAGAACAGTACCCCTTTTTGCAAAGTAGACAGTTCAATGTATTTCATAAGAGGCATGGTGAGTTATTTGAAGTTGTAATTTTTTTTTTGTCATAATTTTTCGCAAAATGAAGAAATTAAATAAAATTATTTTCCCAATTTTTTTTTACATACTGTCACCAGTGCAGTATAGCATCAGCATATAAGTGGTGGTGTGTCGGTGAACAGGGACACTGACTGGTGACAGTACTTTTTTTCTCTTAAGATTTGTTTTTCATACTACACTATGACCAAAGTAGTATAATGTTACCATAGTAACATTGCACTACTTTGGGGAAGTGATCAATATTTTTTTTTTTTACACAATTTGATTGCTTATAGCAAAGAATTTCTTTGGCATAAGCAAGCATTTAACTGAATGAAATCGATTCATTCAGCTTTTTTTTTTTGTTGTGATTGGCCACGGCTAATTACATGACACACATGGGCTGTGACTGGCCCAGCCTGTGCATGTGATTACTGTGACCATTCACAGCTAGGTCCCAGCAGGTCACATGGCACTGGCAACGAGGACAGTACACAGATCTGTCATCGGCCGTGTCCGAGGTACACGGTCGGTGACAGATCTCACCACAGCACGGCCCTGCGGGCACGCGCAAAGTGCAATCCGGGAAGGATGTCATATGACACCCTACCGGAGGGACGAGAGGTTCGCCCCGCCGTCATTTTACTATAGGCTGGGCGGAAAGTAGTTTAACATGCATAAAGAGCTCTTTAACTATAGCTGAACATGGTGCTAAGATCCAAAAAGACCAGCGTTCATGGTATGATCCTGAGATATCTCAACTCCAAATGATAGCAGAATAAAAAAAGAAAGAAACCAAAGGCCCACTGTGTGTTAAAGGGATACTTCACCTTTGCTTACTTCTGCCAAGAACCTCCCTATACATTATGGTGTTTGCAATACATCAAAGGAGAAGTTGTAAAAAAATAAAACATTCATACTCACATCCATTCTGTAGCATTGGTCTGATGCTGCAGCTGTAGTCTGCTAGCTCTAGGCCTGAGAATTGAGCAATCACATGATCTCTAGTGTCAGTTAATCAGCAGAACACATTAGCCATGTATTTGTATGGTTTTATGAAAGTTGATGTGTAATTACATGTATGAATTTTTAGACGGTGGTCACATGCTTTTCCACCTATTATTTTAATGGGATCTAATAAACATATTGTTTTATAAAAGTGTGTTGTGATTTAAGTATGATCCCTTAGCATTGAAGGTAATTATTCCTTCCCTTTTTGTTCATTCTTGTGTATTTATAATGTAGGTTAGCTGGCCAATGCGTGTCTACAATGTTACCATGTGATGGGGTGGACAAAACAAGGTGAGCTGGCTGTTATGGTTGCACTTTGTAATTTTGATTATGTGAATGTTTAGACATTTATTTTAAGTCATGGTTTTTTATCCTATAGTTCGAAAAAGAAAAACCCAGAAAGTAGGAGTGAGAGGCTGCATCACCCTCCTACTACCCACCCAGTTGTGGTGGAGATTGCTGTTAACAGTGCACATTTGACAGAAGCTTTCAAATTATCCACCTACTCTACTTATATAATTCCAGGTCCGGAGTGACATCACTTTTGGTAGACAACAGGATGAAAGGGAAGAAATGATTACTTTTTGAAATTTGTTTATTCGGTCTGTAATTATAAGCAGTATACTTTTTTGTCCTGCCAATTTTTTCTCTCAGGCCTGTTCTCTATTGTCGTGGGGGTTGGAAAATAGTACTAGTATGTTTTGTTTTTGCTGAAAACTGAACTCGCCCAGAAGCAAAAATATATCTTTCTGTTTTAATAGAGTTCAGTTGTGTCTGCAATAAGGGTTGTGTTTAAACAAGGACTGTGCTAGGGCAACAGAAACAATGACGAGGGAGTTGCTCTGATTTCTATGAGCAGCAGAAGATGGGCCTGCAGGCACAATGTTAGAGAGATGGATTTTAAATGTCACAAAATTAGTGATTAATTGGTAGCTCATGCACACTGAACACATTTACAGTATACAGGTCAGTGTCAAATTGCATTGTTTTCATTTATTTGCTTAATCCATCTAGCAATCCTTAGATACAGTATGTTACATTGTATCTCTTGCTATTTCTATGCATATCCTATACTGCTCTGCTGAATTTGAACCAAAACATGTCAGCATTCATATAACTTTGGATTGTATATTCTGCTCATATATACAGTATATGCACATCTACATAAAGTGTAGAATCCTAGACCTGCCACATACACTATATTGCCAAAAGTATTGGGACGCCTGCCTTTACACGCACATGTACTTTAATGGCATCCCAGTCTTAGTCCGTAAGGCCCACTCTTTGCAGCTATAACAGCTTCAACTCTTCTGGGAAGGCTGTCTACAGGTTTTAGGAGTGTGTCTATGGAAATGTTTGACCATTCTTCCAGAAGGCCATTTGTGAGGCCAGGCACTGATGTCAGACGTGAAGGCCTGGCTCGCAGTCTCCGCTCTAATTCATCCCAAAGGTTTTCTATCAGGATTAGATCAGGACTTTGTGCCAGACAGTCAAGTTCCTCCACCACAAACTTGCTCATCCATGTCTTTATGCACTGGTGCGCAGTCATGTTGGAACAGGAAGGGCCTTAAGAGTTCCCTTCACTGGAACTAAGCGGTCAAGCCCAACCCCTGGAAAAAAACAACCCCACACCATAATTCCCCCTCCACCAAACTTTACACTTGCCACAATGCAATCAGGCAAGTACCGTTCTCCTGGCAACCACCAGACATGTCCATTGGCTTGCGAGACAGAGACGCATGATTAGTCACTCTAGAGAACACATCTCCACTGCTTTAGAGTCTAGTGGTGGCATGCTTTAAACCCCTGCATCTGACTCTTTGCGTTGCACTTGGTGATGTAATTCTTGGATGCAGCTGCTCGGCCATGGAAACCCATTCCATGAATCTCTCTACACACTGTTGTGCTAATCTGAAGGCCACACAAAGTTCCGAGGTCATTAGCTATTGACTTTGCAGACAGTTGGCAACTTCTGCGCACTGTGCTCTTCAGCATGCGCTGACCCCGCTTTGTCATTTTACGTGGCCTACCACTTCATGGCTGAGTTGCTGTTGTTCCCAGTTGCTTCCACTTTGTTATAATACACTAACAATTGACAGTCGAATATTTAGTAGCAAGGAAATTTCACAGATGGACTTATTGCACATGTGGCAACCTACCACGGTACCACGCTTGAATTCACTGAGCTCCTTCACTGGATCTGATTGCAGCCCTGACGAGCATCAGGGGTGACCACCCACACCAGAACCTCATATTCTTCACATGAGCTAAAATAGATTGCTTGACCCTTGCATGGGTATCCAGCAACCTTATGAATGTGAGTATACACTTAATACATGGTTATGATTAACAACTTGCCCTTCCTGACCAGGCTTTTTTTGCTATTCAGCAATGCGCTATTTCAGCTGGTAATTGCGTGGTCATGCAACGCTGTACCCAGCTATATTTATGTCCTTTTTTCACATAAATAGAGCTTTCCTTTGGTGGTATCTGATCACCAATGTTGTTTTTTTTATTTTTTATGATATGAATGAAATATTTTGAAACAAAAAATATTATCTACTTTCGATTATAAAAAAATATCCAATAAACTCAAAGTTAGTCATAAATTTAGGTCAAAATGAATTCAGCTACATGTGTTTGGTAAACGAAAAAACCCAATATGTGTATATTAATTGGTTTGTGTGAAAGTTATAGCGTCTACAAACTATGTTATATATACTGGAATTTATGCAGCTTTTACTTTCTGATTGTCTATCACATTTCTTGAGGTGCTAAAATGCCAGGGCAGTACATCCCCCCCCCCCCCCCCCCCAATGACCCCTCTTTAGAAATTAGACACCCTAAGGATTTTACTGAGAAGGATGTTGAGTCCATGGAAGATTTTATTTTTTTGGCACAAATCTTTGGAAAATGACTTTTTTTTAATTTTACACAAAGTTGTCACCTAAATGATATATTGCTCTTGTATGCCAAGGCTATATGTGGAATAAGTATATATTTGTGTATATATATACACACAAGGAAGGGTATACCACATTTTAGAATAGACATTTTGGAAGCCTAATCACATATCAGGGGCGGACTGACAACTCATGGGGCCCCCTGGCAATAGGGGATCATGGGGCCCCCCTGTCCTTGCCCAAACTCAAAAAAGCCTAAAAAGGTACCAGGGGCATCTCATGGGGCCCCCTACTGACCATGGCCCTCGGGAAAGGGGGGGCAGGGGTTTTTTTTTTGTTCTTGTTTTACACTGTTTCATTCTTTTTTTCTTTTGATCACTTTTATTGCTATCACATGGAATGTAAATATCCCCTGTGATAGCAAGAGGTACTGACAGGTACTCTTTTCTGAGAAATCTGGGGTCTCTTAGCCACTAGCCTACAGGGCACTTTTACCCCCTTCCTGCCCAGGCCAATTTCCAGCTTTCAGCACTGTCGCACTTTGAATGACAATTGCGTGGTCATGCAACACTGTACCCATATGACATTTTTATCATTTTTTTTTTACAAATAGAGCTTTATTTTGGTGGTATTTAATCACCTCTGGGTTTTGATTTCTTACACAAACCAATAACCACTGAAAACTAAAAAAAAAAAATGTTTTTTCTTAGTTTTTGTGCGCTAATGAGGCTGCACTGATAGGCTGCACTGATGGACACTGATAGGTGGCACTGATGGGCACTGATGAGGAGGCACTGGTAGGTGGCACTGATGGGCACTGACATGCATCACTGATGGGCACTGAAAGGCAGCACTGATACATGGCACTGATATATAGCACTGATAGGCAGCACTGATAGGCGGCACTGACTGGCACTAATAGGCAGCACTGACTGGCACTGATAGGAGGCATTGACTGGCACTAATAGGCAGCACTGACTGGCACTTTTAGGCGGCACTGACAGGCACTGATAGGTGGCACTGATTGGCAGCACTAATAGGTGGCACTGATTGGCATTGATAGATGGCACTGACTGGCACTGATGGATGATACTGAAAGGCAGCTCAGATGGGCACTGATATGTGGCATTGATGTGCACTGGTAGGCACTGATATGTGGCATTGATGTGGCACTGATGGGCACTGGCACGAGGCACTGACATAAGGCACTGATGGACACTGACAGGTGGCACTGCTGGGGCTACACTGATCATCAGGGCACACTGATCATCAGTGCCCTGATCATCAGTGTACATGTCCCCTCCGCGGAAAGCCGATTACCAGCTCTCCTCTCCTCTCGAGCTGTCAGCGTGACACCTCGAGAGGAGAGAAATGCCGATAACCGGCATTTCCCTGTTTACATGTGATCAGCTGTGATTGGACACGGCTGATCACATGACCGAGCCGACATCTTCGGCTCTTTCCGTGATCGGTGATCCGCTGTGTCCGAGGGATGCGCAGTGAGAATGGGGAGGACGTCATATGATGTCCTCCTAGAACGAGAGAACCACCTTGCGCCCGTCATATTACTATATGGCGGGTGGGAGGTGGCTAGACTCTAGATTTCTCCTCTGCCCTTAAAGCATCTGATCACACCAAGATTGACTTTTTTAAGTATTTAAAAAATCACTGCTGCTGGCTGGATGGAATTTTTTAAAATGTGTTTTTTCATTGATATATGTTTCACAGGGCAGTGCCCACCCTCATGCTTTTTGAACAGCCCGTTGACCAGCTCAGAAAATGGGCATTTTTAATGTGACAAATTTGTCTCCCCTTGATTCCAGTGGGATTAGGGTTTGGCAAACCCTGCTTTAACCAAACCCACGCTTCACTGTAGCCTTCTGACAGAGCCTGCTAACTGTCCTTCACTTACTGGTGTGCAACTGCTCTTCTGCCATCCATCCATCCTGCTGCTGCATTCTGATGATAGCGGCACATAGTGAGGCCAGGCGTCTCTCCAGTTTTTTGCAGTTTTGCAGTATTTTACCTGCTTGTTTCAGGTGTGTTCGTTAAGAACAGCTTTGCTTTTACATCGTACACCCGGCAGGAACTTTTGATATCGGACTACCCTTCCCCAACAATTTTATCACAATTTTATTACTCATCCCTGAGATCTCAAGAACACTGGAGACTATGCACTCTGGCCGCCGGAAAGTATACACAGGCAGCGTTGAGATCATAAACAAAGGTGGGGGAAGTTCGGAGGGCTGAAACCTAAGCTAAAGTTAACACTGCATTACCCAGCATTTTCCTCACTAATGTGTGGTCATTGGGGAATAAGATGGATGAATTACAGCTCCACGTCACCTAGAGTAAGACTTATGGACTGTAAATTCATGATTTTCACTGAAACATGGTTACATGGTGGCGTACCCAGGGGCGGACTGACAACTCATGGGGGCCCCCAGGCAATAGGGGATCATGGGGCCCCTGTGTCCTTGCCCAAACTCAAAAAAGCCTATGAAAAAGGTACCAGGGGCATTTCATGGGGCCCCCTACTGACCCTGGGCCCTCAGGCAGTGCCAGAGTTTCCAAATGGTCAGTCCGCCCCTGGGCGTACGTGACAATGCTACTGAGCTAGCTACACGTTATACATTCTGGACTGATAGGACGGCAAAGGACTCCGGTAAGACCAGAGGCGGAGGACTGTGCATTTATGTTAACAAAGCTTGGTGTGTGGACTCTGTCTTTGTTGGGAGATACTGTTCAGTTAACCTACAGCTTCTCATGGTTAAGTGTAGGCTTTTTTATCTGGCTAGAGAATTTGCTTCCTCCATTATGACCATAGTTTATATTCCCCTGGAAACAAATGCTAAGTTAGCTATGAATGAACTGCATGCAGCTATTAGCAAACAACAGACTGCATACCTGGAGGCTGCATTTATTGTTACAGGTGATTTTAATGACTCAAACTTGACAGAGAAAGTTCTCTCCAAATTTCAGCAGCATGTTTCCTGCTATACAAGAGGAAACAAAACTTTGGGCCATGTTTATACAAACAAATCCGGAGCTTACATTGCGATACCCCCTCCCCCATTTGGGACAGTCAGACCATTTTTCCTTGTTTCTCATACCCAAGTACTTACCACTTTTCTGACGGGTGAAGCTATTAGTGACGACCATTAAAGTGTGGCCAGCTGGGACAGACTCCATACTTCAGGATAGGTTTCAACACACAGACTGGACTGGAGTATGTTTTCCTCTTAGGCTACCTGTGGCTCACATATGGATATTATCACCTACTGTATACCTCCTCTGTGCTGGACTATATCAGCATCACTTGACAGTGTCACAACACAGAAGCAGATCACCACATACCCAAATCAGAGGCCATGGATGAATAAGGAGGTGCGGCTCCTGTTGAGGGCTCGTGACACTACCTTTAGACCACGTGATGCACAGGCCTACAGTACATCCAGAGCAAACTTGAGGAGTGGCATTAAAAATGGCCAAGCACTGCTGCAAGCTGAAGATAGAGGAATATTTCTCTAACTCTGACTCCCAGTGTATGCGGCAGGGTATTCAGATCATCAGTGATTACAAGTAACTCCATCCTGACAGCCACAAGTGTTTCTTTTCTCAATGAGCTAAATTACTTTTATGCTCACTTTGACCAGGATAACAAGGAGACAGCAACCAAGATGACTCCCTTCACAGACCACCAGCCCCTCATACACACTTCAACAGCTGTCTGTGCTGCATTGTGTTGGATCAATGCAAGCAAAACTGCTGGCCCTGACGGCATCCCCGGATACGTGCTCAGGGCATGTGCTGGTCAGCTGACTGAGGTTTGTACAGACATATTCAACCTGTCTCTTGCCCAAGCAGCTGTACCTACATGCCTAAAAATTACCTGCATTGTACCAGTGCCAGAACACTCCACCCCAAAGTGCCTGAATGACTATTGCCCTGTAGCACTCACATCCATAGTTATGAAGAGCTTTGAACGAACGGTCCTGGCACAAATGAAAGGATAGCTTGCCATCTACATTTGATCCCTATCAATTTGCATATTGTAGCAATAGGAGCATATATATAGAACCAGTATCCTATAGCACGGCACTCTGTGCTCACACATTTGGACAATAATGACACATATGCAAGAGAACTGTTTGTGGACTACAGTACAACATCTGGTTGCGTGGTGCGCGGACAATAACTTGCTTCTTAACTTCACCAAGAGTAAGGAGCTTATTGTGCACTTCAGGAGGGAGAATGGAGGCACGCATGACCCCATCAACATCAATGGGATGGCAGTTGAATGTGTCACCAGTTTCAAGTTCCTGGGGATCCACATTTTAGAGAATCTGTCCTGGACTACCAATGCATCCAGTCTTGTCAAGAAGGCTCACCAGCAACTCTTCTTCTTAAGGACATTGAAGAAGAACCATATGCCCTCAACTATCTTGGTGAATTTCTACTACCATGTGTCAGGGCAGGAGCTGAGGAACGGACAGGCAGGCCTAACAATGTAACGCACTGGCTGACGACAACCACCACCCCACAGACCAAAGTCCCTCAGGGCGCGGAGTCTAAGTCCCAGGCTGCCCTTCACCAGGGCCCCTGATGGTGGGGATGGACTTGACGCAGCCAGGAACCAGGTCGCGGCCCCCGAGACACCTCAGCTGCGGTAATGGCCGCCGCCAATGGCGTGTAGCTGGTGGAAGAGACAAAAGAGTAGTCAGACAAGCCGGGGTCAACAACAACAGGACAGAACAGTACAGGACAGCAGACGAGAATCACAGGTCACGAGCCGGGTTCAGCAACAGAGGGTCAGATCAAAGGAGAATACAAAGAATAGTCAAGACAAGCCGAATCAGATACCAGGAGAGTCACGAGAGTCAGAACAGAGTAACAGCAACACAAAGACACAAGACACAAGTGCAAAGAGCATGTGCGGGCCACAGGCTTATATGTCATCAGCCACACCCCTCTGGAGGATGGACCACAGAAACCTGAAGGCATAAAAGGGCTCCCATCATGCACAGCAGAATCCAAGATGGACACCAGCACATGAAGTAACATAACCACAGGGAAAAGGTAGGACCTTGACAGTACCTCCCCCTCAAGGGCCCC